GGTGCCGCGAGAGCCTGGCAAGCGGTACCGACGGGCAAGTGACCAAAAATTCACCCGGCCCAATGCGAGCGCCGACTGCGGTGTTTCCATGGATTAATATTTTTTGGCTATATCGGCGGTGTCGTTTAGTTCAAAACGGTACCGCGAGTAAGCCCAACGGTACCGCGGACTAGCAAACGACAATGTTTAAAATAACAAACAATGTCGCAAAAGGGAAAAACAAACAGAGTTTTTGTGGCGCTAGTGATGTCGTTGGCCATAACTAGTGATGACCGGATTAATTAACTAATATTGTTAATGATTATTTAGGACGGTGTCGTTTAGTTGAAAACGATGCCGCAAGAGGAAAGAAAACGACACCGCAAGGCTGGAAGCGGAGTCGTTTAATATTAAAACGATGTCGCGGGTAGAATCAAGCGGAGCTGTTTGGGAAAGGAAACGACATCGCGGGATCATGAAAACAACTCACGTAAAGTTCACGCGAAGCAGTTTGAGGAGCGAAGCGGTTGAGACACGTGGGATTTCACAACGGAGCAGTTGAGGAAGCGGTTCCACCGAGCGTGAAGACTACGAAGCAGTTTTTCGAATAAAAGCAGTGGAGCAAGGAGAGAGAAAGGAACCAAAAATCAACACAGATCAACTCTGTTCAAACTTTACCTTTTTTTTCTCTGTAACTCCTTCGCGGAGCTCTCCTTCCAGGAAGGATCTCCATAGTTGGTAGAAGTAGTCGTAGTCGCGGAGCTCTCCACAGGAATCTCCATAGGAGTAGCGGTAGCGTAGATTCCTCAAAAACTCAAACACCCTCGTTCGAACATAGTTTGGAGAGGTGTGAACCATAGTCACAGTCGTCTTGATTAGAAGTCAGTGGCGCATCAATTCGATCAAATCAACATCGTCGTTTGGCACGCCGACGGTGGTATTTGGTCAGAAGATAGTGGTGCATCCGTTCAATCGGCACCGCAAGAGTTTCCACCGCGAAACATCAAATCAACATCGCCGGGAACGAATTCGGCACCGGCGGTGGCATTTGGTTTTTCCGAGGAAACATTTTGGCACGCCTGGTGGGACACGTGTGTTTGAAGTGAAATATGGCTCTGCGGCATGAAAAACACAGCGTTGATCTTCCACAAGAATCTGTGAAGGTGGAGCGTGTGGCCGACATTGAAGTTGGCGGAGCATATGAGGCGGATAGACATATCGGGGTGATGAAGGAGTGGCCCCAATCCATGTCGAGCACTGATGGGCATGCTGCACTCCTGTCTCTTCGTCGATCTATAGACGAATATTACCGGCAGGTAAATCTCTATTTTATCTCTTTAAATAAGCCTTGTGATTCTCTTGGAAGACATATGGATAAATTTTTTGAGATGATAGATGAACATGTTTCCGGTATTGCCAATAAGGATTCACTTAAACATGTGGCTAAAACAGTGGCGTTAGGGGCCAGCAAATCTCATGTTGGTTCTCCTGTGAACACTATTGTTTTGAAGGACAGGAAAGTTAGAGCGGTCTTGCGAAAGCCACAACAAAGAACAAAATTTAAACGTGTTTATAATAAGTTTCAGAAAATTAGGAAGAACAACTGTGATATCTTGAAAGATGACAAATTTTACAATGTTGTTCAATCTAAGCCGCTCGGGGGGCATGTCATCCCATATCGTGGTAGATTGAAGGAGAAACGACACCATAAGTGGCAACTAGGTTTGCCACATCCACCTTGTTCTAGGAAAAGTCAAACTAGGGTCACCACAGACACTACTCAAGATGGAGGTGGTGATCACGTGAACAAACTCAATGCCGCGAAAGTTGGTATTGCTCAACCTATTCCTTCGTGTAAATTGTCCCCAAAGGCTCCACTGAGTGGAAAGGGGGGCAAGTTTAATCGAGCCCGACATAGAGTTGTCACGCCAGTGCCGGCAGGGACCAAGTCTGCCATGAATGGTGGACATGGGGGCAATTCCACTGTCCAACAAACTCCACAATCATGTGAGAGTTCAAAAGAAATAACGTGGTTGTGTGGTAAGTGTCGTAGTAAACAGCGCAATCACAAGAGTGTTGGTGAAGCTCGTGAGCATCGGGGCTCATACTCTCAACAACGTAGTGAGAGTGCGAAGCTGACAAAACTAGACCAGTCTAGGCAAGCGATGTCGCATGGTCGAATTGGCAAGACAAAGGTGCCAAAAAACGAGAATGTCCTGTCTAGAGCCAAGAATGCTTATGGTTTTCCATTCCGCGAAGCTAAGATTAGGCCAAATCAGGATCGTGGAGTTTCGAACAAAGATGTTCGAGCTAGACGAACTGGGGATTTGCAAGCCAACATTGATTCCAAAACATCAAAACCAACTCGTGTGAAGCCAGCTGTGATGAATCATGGACTTTACGGATGGCTTGTTTGGTTTGATCGATGGAGTTGGCAGTGGGTGTGGACTTTTGGCATGATGGTTTATGCCAAAGTCTAGTTTGTTTCTTATTTAACTGTTAATAAATAACGTGGCTAAATTAGGCCACCTAATATGTTATAGAGAAAATATTATATAATATGATCAAGCGGCATTGCTAAGAAGAAGCAACAATATCGTTGGCAATAGTTCAAAATAACAAGCGGTGTTGTTTTCTTTTCTCAACATCGTTGGAAGATAGGGAAAGATACACAATGCTGTAAAAAAAAAAAAAAAAACTCTGCCACTGAAACAGCCCTGATAATTAAAAAAAAAACAAATGAAAGCAGCGCTGGTGGTGGAGGAAAATAATAGGCAAAAAAAAAAAATTTTACTAGTCATGCAGCGCTGGCCGCTGTTTCCACAGCCAAAATAATTTTTTTTTTTATGCAGCTCTGCCGCTGTTGCAAACAGCTCTGGCGGAAATTTAAAAAAAATATATATATAAGTATTTATCAATTATGGCCGCATGTTAAATTAATGGAAAAGAGCACAATCCTGTTGGGCACAACAACATTGAGAAAAAGAGACGTCTATTTACATGTGTTCTACCCGAATAAGTCCAGGATTGGCAAAGTTTTTATTGCCATGCAAGGAAGTGATATCCTCAATCGAACAATTTTAGGTGATTGAGTTGTGTCAACAACTCGGTTCATAATTTTTATAAACCGAGTTGTGGGGGGCATTTGTTGACACCTAAAATTAATTTGGCCGGGATTAAATGCCGCAGTCTCGGCATTTAATTCGATACTGCGGGTTAAAAAACGGTATCGTTTGAAGTTAAAACGGTACCGTAAGGGAGCTCACCGGTACCGCAAGGAAGCTGACCGGTACCGCGGCATTGGAAACGGTACCGAAAAACAAAAGGGGGCCGCGCGTGTGGTTTCTTGTTGGAAAAGGAGTTTTTTCTAATTAATTATTATCTTTATTCCTTGTCGGAAGGGGAAAATCGGTACCGCATGGAGACAAGCGGTATCGCGGAGAGTTAAAACGGTACCGCAAGGAGGCTCACCGGTACCGCGACACTGGAAACGGCACCGCTTGCCGAAAATAAAAAAACAAGGGCCGCGCGTGTGGTTCCTTGTTGGAGGAGGAAAAACGGTACCGCGGAGAGTTAAAACGGTACCGCGGATTTAAAAACGGTGCCGCGAGAGCCTGGCAAGCGGTACCGACGGGCAAGTGACCAAAAATTCACCCGGCCCAATGCGAGCGCCGACTGCGGTGTTTCCATGGATTAATATTTTTTGGCTATATCGGCGGTGTCGTTTAGTTCAAAACGGTACCGCGAGTAAGCCCAACGGTACCGCGGACTAGCAAACGACAATGTTTAAAATAACAAACAATGTCGCAAAAGGGAAAAACAAACAGAGTTTTTGTGGCGCTAGTGATGTCGTTGGCCATAACTAGTGATGACCGGATTAATTAACTAATATTGTTAATGATTATTTAGGACGGTGTCGTTTAGTTGAAAACGATGCCGCAAGAGGAAAGAAAACGACACCGCAAGGCTGGAAGCGGAGTCGTTTAATATTAAAACGATGTCGCGGGTAGAATCAAGCGGAGCTGTTTGGGAAAGGAAACGACATCGCGGGATCATGAAAACAACTCACGTAAAGTTCACGCGAAGCAGTTTGAGGAGCGAAGCGGTTGAGACACGTGGGATTTCACAACGGAGCAGTTGAGGAAGCGGTTCCACCGAGCGTGAAGACTACGAAGCAGTTTTTCGAATAAAAGCAGTGGAGCAAGGAGAGAGAAAGGAACCAAAAATCAACACAGATCAACTCTGTTCAAACTTTACCTTTTTTTTCTCTGTAACTCCTTCGCGGAGCTCTCCTTCCAGGAAGGATCTCCATAGTTGGTAGAAGTAGTCGTAGTCGCGGAGCTCTCCACAGGAATCTCCATAGGAGTAGCGGTAGCGTAGATTCCTCAAAAACTCAAACACCCTCGTTCGAACATAGTTTGGAGAGGTGTGAACCATAGTCACAGTCGTCTTGATTAGAAGTCAGTGGCGCATCAATTCGATCAAATCAACATCGTCGTTTGGCACGCCGACGGTGGTATTTGGTCAGAAGATAGTGGTGCATCCGTTCAATCGGCACCGCAAGAGTTTCCACCGCGAAACATCAAATCAACATCGCCGGGAACGAATTCGGCACCGGCGGTGGCATTTGGTTTTTCCGAGGAAACATTAGCTCAACAAGCCACCGAGTCGAGCTAGCTCGCGAGCTGAACAAAGCTTAGCTCATTTTCAGCTCGTTTATTAACGAGCCGAGTTTCGAACGAGTTTTTCTCGAGTCGAACGTCGAGCCGCTCGCGAACGGCTCGGCTCATTTGCAGCCCTAATTTCCATATCCATTGTGAACAAATAAGATGACATGAAATCCCTGTCTCATACCTTTTTCATTCAAAAGTAATCACAAAGACCGTAATGACGGTCCGATCGTAAAAATCCACTATAGGAGCCTAAATAGATAGACGATATTTATCGAGATAAAAATTAAATCTCAATTAACCCATAATTTCAACCTAAAATATTGTGTTATTAACTTTTTCCATAAAAACCTCTAATAATTTTAGAATCATAAATAAATCATAGTTTAAGAAAAATACTCATCACGTTAACAAAAAGAAAAGCCCATTATTTTCAGATCCTCTTATCATCGTCTCTTTTGCCGTCGAATTGTTCACTTCTTTCCGATCTCTCTTTTAGCCTCTGCAACTCCGCTTCCAGCTTCCTTCATTTCTCCTTCGGCAACCCAGAAACCAGTCGACATCCCAGATCTATAACTTTAGGCTCTGATCCGAAACTTCCCTCACCACACCCGATACGATCAACACCCTCTTCTTCCTCATTGACAATTCCCCCATTTTCTCCCAATGGCCTTCCGATCTTGAAAACTCAGATGAGCGCCGCCGATTCCCCCAAAACTCTGGCAACTCCGCCTGTATCTGAATTCGGATTGCGATCTTGCTAATCGCCAACAATAGATTCTTCCTTGCGAAGTTCAAAACCTCCCCAATCAACAAATTCCCTTTCTTTCCGGCTTCCGCCATCAAACCAACTAGGGATTCCATCTCCTTCACCTAATCGGCGGTCATCCATCTCCGATCTTGCTATCATGTGGAGGTTTAAACCCTTTGCACAAAAAGAACCAGTCGGGCTTGAAGGACGTTATATCGATGTGGGCAATCTCAAGATTCACGTCCGCCATGTCATTGCCGAGGGAGGGTTTTCTCGTGTTTACCTAGCTCAGGACGCCGTGCATTTGTCCAAGCAATATGCTTTGAAGCATATGATGTGCAATGACGAGGAGTCTCTAGATTTGGCAATGAAGGAAATCAATGTGATGAAATCACTCAAGGGACATCCCAATGTTGTGACGCTTTATGGACATACCATCTTGGATTCGGGGAGGATGAAGGAAGCGCTGCTTCTGTTGGAGTTCTGCGAGAAATCTCTGGTCAGTGTTCTAGAGGGCAGAGGGGCCGAACATTTTGATGAGAAACAGGCTCTTTCCATATTCAGAGATGTGTGCAATGCAGTTTTTGCAATGCACAGTCAATCACCTCCGATTGCACACAGGTAACAACTAGAACTGTATGATGCTCTCTCCAGATTTCACTTTGTTTGATCCTTGTGATTCTGGTTGGTAGCTGACACTATTGGATAATGGTATCAAGACAAGATCTTGTTGGTGTTTTTAGCATTCCTGATCTTACCCAATTATCCAAATAAAACTTAGGTGATCACATGAAACTAATCACCGTAGACCTTTTAAGTAGAACTAACTAGTCTAAGCGGATATTAATCTTGCTGGGTTGAGTCATCTTCCTCCTTTAGGATTCATTTGGAGTTTGGAGGGCATTACCTGACGTAAAAGTTTTAATGTTCACATTTGATGGAATGGAACCCCTGTTGGGCTCATTAAATTCTTTACCTTCTCCATATTCAGGGACTTGAAAGCTGAGAATCTTCTACTGGGGCCTGATGGATCATGGAAGTTATGTGATTTTGGGAGCACTTCCACCAATCACAAGCGCTTTGAAAAACCTGAAGAGATGGGAATTGAGGAAGACAACATTCGTAAGCATACAACACCTGCTTACAGAGCCCCCGAGGTCTAACTCAAATATACTTTTTGAGAAATCACCTGAGATATGATTTGAAAACATTTAACTCATGTTCCTTTCTTATTGTTTAGATGTGGGATCTGTACCGGAGAGACCATATAAGTGAGAAGGTAGACATATGGGTAAGTAGTCAGACTGGTTCACATTTTTTAAGAAGCAATTGTATGTCATGATCCAGAGTAAAACACAATGCTTCTCTCTTACCTCAGGCGCTTGGCTGCTTACTCTTTCGCATATGCTACTTAAAAAATGCCTTTGATGGAGAATCAAAGCTGCAAGTATTGAATGGAAACTATCGCATTCCAGAGATGCCAAAGTACAACTTGGCAGTGACTGTCTTAATCAAAGATATGCTTCAAGCTTCACCAGCTGATAGACCTGACATCACACAGGCAAGCGCTTTGCTTGATTGGCAATTCATCTCCATGAACTTAGGTTAGTTTTAGATCAATCATGTTGACAGGATTTCAGCTCCTGAGTTCTAACAGTCTGATTACTGATGCTGGGACCTTTTCCCATGTGACAGGTGTGGTTCCGTGTGAATGAACTGTTGCCAGTCAATCTGCAGAAGTCACTGCCCCATGTCCCACCTGAAAGTCAGTCCCAAGGAATGCATGAAGGTATGTACCGGAAAGCTCAAGGTCCTCAGTTCCCTATTTGTTTCATTCTCGAGAACAAGTTTATATGATTACGAGGATGACTTTCATACTCAAGTCAACAAGTGCTTGATTGTTTGCTTCTACCTGGTTAAATTAGGAACTACACTACTAGTTGTTTTAATTCGGTCTTCCTTCCCCCATTTTCTTTTCCTTTCTAACAGGTTTCCCAAAACAGCGAGATAGGTCATCTCCAATGCCTCGTAGAAGTCCACCTCCTCCTCCTTCGTCTGGCACAGGACACTCAGGACAGATTGGTGCTTTTTGGTCCACGCAACATGCAAAGGAGTCACTTGTTGTTGAAAGGCCAAAATTTGATGAGGAACCAAACTTTGTTTCATCACACAATGAGAGAATTCGGCCAGAGAACTCCAACTTAACCAAAAACACCGGATTCATAAAACCTGAGAGTATACAAAGTCATGGCTCTCAAAGCAATGTGCTGGGGAAAACTCCTCAAAATGATACTTCCAGGGATTTTGAAATGAACTTCTCCAAGAAACACAGAGACCATGGTTTTGAGCAGCCAAAAGTGTCGATGAACTCCAATAATGCTTCTTTATTTCAAGATGATACTTTCAACACATTTGTTGCTGAATTTGATACCGAAAAGGTAAACTCCTTCAATGTAAATACTAGTAACAAAACCGAGCAGGGAGATACTCTGGAAGCTGAAGTTGAGAGGCTGAAGGAGCAGGTGAAGCGGGCTAATTTGGAGAAAGCTGAAATGACTTCCAAATTTGAGAAGCTGTCTGCCATTTGCCGATCTCAGAGGCAGGAGATACAGGAGCTTAAGCAGAGTCTAGCTGCTACTCCGCTACCAAACAAAAGTGGAGAATCACCAATGAATCAGTCGCCTGCAACTGTTGCGGTACTAGTTCTGCTGATGTCTTACAATATCTAACATTTATTGTCATTCATTGCCGGTTGTCCATATTGATTTTTGACTGGATTCTGTTTTAACAGCAGCAGAAGTTGGAGAGTGGCAGGAAAAGCACAGAAACAAGCTCATGGCAGCCTTTCGCAGATAAGATGGAGCAGCAGGCATCACCCAGTTGCAACACTCCTCCGCAATCTGTTAGGACGAGTCTTGCACAAGGGGCCAGTCAATCCACTTCTAGTTCCTGGGGTTTTGATGGACAGGGTTTCAGGGCGGTTTCTTCTGCAGGTGGCCAGCCTTCTACTCATAATTCCCAGCAGTCTGTAAGGAGAAAAAGTGTTGATAGCCAGTCAAAAACTCAACCAGCTGGATGGGCTGGGTTCTAGTTCAAGGGTAAGGCTTGTTCCGAAAGAAAGGGAAAGGAAGGGGGGATATTGAAGGGTATTTGATCAGAACTATGATGTCTTTCTTTGCCAGTTCTTCCCCAGAGAGAGTGAGAGAGAGGAAACTGGAAATGGAACTCTCCAAGTATGGCATTTATGTGGTTGCTATTTCTTTCTGTTGTGAGTGCTCCCCACTTGTAGATTCACATTTTTTTTTCTTGATTGCACTTGCACTGGTTTTCAACTAAACAGCAGCAGCCCATGCTGTGAAGTGTATACCTGTCTGCAGTATTCGGTTTTTTTTTTTTTGGTATAAGGCAATAGTAGCTGATGATATTTTGTTGCTGTTAGAGTCGGAATACCCAGATGAGGTCGATGTGCTGTCGCTATTAACACGAAGCCGTTGCACTCTAAAACGTTTAGTCACTTCTTCATATTAGGAAAAGATCAGCGCTTTCCCTTTTTCGTAAAGGATTCTGTATTTATGGAAATCAGCCTATATAATGAAGCCTAACTCTACGTCCTTTGGTAATACTTACAAGGGCGATTGTAACAATGGGATGCTTCGGTTCAAAGCCGGCGACCAATGGAGGAAAGGGCAAAACCAGCCGGAGTAGCGCCGCGCCAGTCAACCGACGGAAGCAGAGCCGCTATTCTTCTCAAGACGGCGGGGTTTTCATCATGACCGCGGCGACCTCGTCTAATGCTGGAGGGGGTGGTGGCCACGGTGGCGGCCATGGAGGGGGAGGATGCGGCGGCGGCCATGGGGGCGGGGGATGCGGCGGCGGAGGATGTGGCGGTGGCTGATGCCGGGGTGGGCTTTATTTCACTACAAGTTTTCTTTTCCGACGATAGTTAATTTTACGTGTAGATGAAGGCTTTATTTGATTATTTCTACTCTCTTTTTGGGAAAATACTAAATAGCGTGGTTCAAAAATACACATTTAGGTGGGTGTGTAGGTGTGATTAGAGGATAGTCCACAAGGAAAGATTGGGCATACCTGTCCAGAGCTAGAGAGCGATTTTTTTATTAAAAGAGAATGGAGAGTAAATAGAAAGTCTTTTGTTTTCGTTCTTGGGTTTGGGGCTTTCGTTCGAGCTCCTCCCGATTTTATTCGTTGTTACAATGGAGAGTGTCCTTCCCGGGTTCCAAATGCTCTACTGTCATACATCGTATCAAATCATCAAATCATTCGAAATCGTTGCTTTCAACTTGTAGGATAATCAAATGACTTGAGTATCAGATCATTCGAAATCATTGCTTTCAACTAGCAGGATAATCAAATGACTTGAGCCGCAGTACCACAACGAGCAAACTAGCTCTTTTTGCGGCATAACATATAACTGAACAAGACCAAAAGAGTTCAACTAAGCATTGGGCAGGGGCCGCGCGAACGCAGGCCCCCTCAGCAACAAATTATGACGTAGGCTCTCCCGCATTGAGGAGACCTTAGCCCAGCGCCCCTCCGCAAAGTGCAATGGAAGTCACTGGCCTAGACCACAAGCCTTTTTGATCGCCCGTAGATCCCGTCCAGGTAAGTATGTTGCACAGTAGCTCTCAGCTCTTATTTTATATGTCTTTCTCCTTCAGACTTCCCATGCTCTCCAATGTGGTATTCTTATTTCCAACTCCTTCGAGTAAACCTCTTCCATGTGCAATAAAACGCTTCCTTCACTAGCCTAGTGGCGTAGTTAGGATTTCGTTTAAGGTGGGTCCACCTAAAAAAAACACTTCAAGAATATCATCTTGCGTACCAAACAATTATTGATTTAGTTAGTCGTACACTCGTACGATTTCAAATGGTGTTCTTTGTCAAGAACCGTTAGTATCAATAAATCGAGTTGTTGATAGAGGTTTAATAATAAATCCTACACCAATCAATAATTCATGATTTAGCTTTCGAATCATGTTCTTTGTATAAAAAAAACATTTAGTGTCAACAAATCGAGTTGTTGGAAGAGATTCAATAATATATATGATACCATTTATTATCATGCTCCCTCATAAGAAAATCAACTTATACGAAAATGAAGCTTGCACAAATAAGTATACCGTATTAGATTCAAACACAAAACTACTATTATCAATTAAATGTGACCTAATTTTCGATATCAATTAATTATCATACCTAATTTAACCATTTTCCTCTCGAACCAGGGTGGGGGACCCACCTTATTACCCTCTCCCTCCGCCACTTGACTGGCCCTTCTCCAACCTATCTCAGTATTATACTCTATTTCCCTTCTTGCCCCCATTGACATGGGACACATGATTCTGAGACTAAGGCCATTAGGTTTAGCTTGGTTATGTCATTGATATTCATGTATAGAACACAGTGCCAAACATGTTCTATCTAGTGTGGTTAAGTATGCTTTTGTACTCTTAAGTTTGAAACCTAAAGTGTAATAGTTTTATCTTCGGGAGAAATTTCCTGTAACACAAGGCTTTGTGTGGGTGGAAATATTCTTTTTGGAAAGTGAACGTTGTTCACGACTCTATCATTATCCTGGTCACTGATCTCGGGATATCGTACTTGTAACCTCGTCCCCAAAGTCCCAACAATGTCTAGGTGCGATTAGATGTTAGACGACGGTAAAATGTTTCATCTAATAAAGTATTGGATTAAGAATGTAAAGAATCGAGACGGTAATAGGCGACTATGGGACGATTGTAGCCTTGTAGGTAGGGGTGTTCAAATGGTTACCATGGTTATTACCAAACCAAATAAGGCTAAATCTCATTAATCATGGAACACAATATCATAACCAAACCGTCCAAACTAATACAACAACCAAATTAACCAAACTAAAGTAATCGGTTTGGTTAATTGGTCAACCAGATTAACCAATATAAAATCACATTATCATTAAGTGAGAAAAATTTCAGTTAATTTATCAATTCACAATTTATATAATGAATAAAACATAACAATCAACACTTGGTTATAGTTGACCTTTAACATAAATACATGCAACAAAGACAATCATCTTACGGTTGGTATAGAAGTATTCACCTAGCAAAAATTCATCACAATAGTATGGGTTAATAAATTGTTGTGTTTGTTTGAATTGACTTAGTCTTTTAGCAATTTTCATAGGCTGAAAAGGACCTTGCTTTCAAATTTTCATCCAACATAATGTATGAGATTTATCTAAATTAGGCATTCATATGTTGTGGTCTACACTCTACATATACAAATATACATTATAGGAACAATATCAAGCTTTATATTTTATGAGTCTAAAAGGGATGAACGTTTAACTCTTGAGTGGTTATTCAAAGTATCAAGTATGTGTATATGTTAGATATATGGCTAATTATTTATCTGGTTAATTTGGTTTGACTGGTTAGGAGTGTCTGAAACCAAACCAAACCACCTAAACCAAACAAGCTAAAAACTTTAACCAAACCAAACCAATTAACCAAATTAACCAAACAAAATTATTCAAATAGTACTGATTAAAATAGTTATCATGGTAACCACACCGTTTGAACACCTGTACTTGTAGGCAAGATTAGGCATTATCTCAACAAGAACAAACAACAGAAAGAGAAAAGTAACTCCAAAATTATGGCCTCTCTCTTCTCTTTTAATATTTTAGATTACACAACTAGACTATATAGGTAGACGGTAGTAGGTTAACGCCATCTTTTTTGTTTTCTCTTCTAGCGACGTCTTCATTATCAGCTTGACAACTTAACGTTATTACCATTACTCTTCATTATTTGCAAATCTCTTATTACTACCTGCATAACTCTCCCAACAAACATCGAGTCCATTTACAAGTCAGGATACCATTTCAAACTAAGAGTTATGGTCTCACTTACATCTTAAAAATGCTCAAAAATTTCTCTTACTATTTTAGCACTTAGGCGATACCTAAACAAATTAGTCTCTAAGCAAGTGACCAGAAAAACAGGGAATAGTGAGGAAATGAATAGCAATCTTTTGTGGAAGAAACTATGGAAATATTATTTTCATATTATGGTTTAGAGCAATAGGCTTCTAATCCTTCAACTTAGAATCTTTTCAAACAAGACAAACGTGGTTTCAAGTTTAGGTTTTTTCTTTACAAGTATAATACCGATATAAAAATTGATCAATTGAAGTATTATACTTGTATTATAAATCAATGGTTGCAAAATATCACATCATTCGAAATTGTTGTTTGTAAAATGTAACTTGAGATCGATTTTCTGAAAGATTTAGAGACTGATGTGGAATCACAAAGCCCTGCAATCCACAACAGAAAACTAAGTTGTAGAGCAATGAAAACAGTCAAGCACCACATCATTCAATAAAATAATTGACATTCCCCAGGCCCCAGCTGCCTTAAAATCATTACTAGTAGCCAGTACGGCAATCAAACGACTTCCACAGCACTACTTTGGACGAGCCAGAAAGCTCATTTTGCAGCAAAACAAATAACAAAGCTGAACCAAAATAGTTAAACTAGGAATTGGGCAGGGGCCGCGCGAACGCAGGCCCCCTCAGCAACAAATTACGACGTAGGCTCTCCCACATTGGGGAGACCTTAGCCCAGCACCCCTCCGCAATGTGCAATGGAGGTCACTAGCCTAGACCACGAGCCTTTTTGATCGCCCGTAGATCCCGTCCAGGTAAGTATGTTGCACAATTGCAGTTAGCTCTTGTTTTATACGTCCTTCTCCTTCAAACTTCCCATGCTCTCCAATGTGGTATTCTTATTTTCAACTCCCTCGAGTAAACCTCTCCCATGTGCAATAAAAAAGGCTTCCTTCACTAGCCCTTCCTCCAACCTTGCCTCCTAATGAGCTGACTTCCTTCTCGCCAGCTGCAAAGTTAGCAAGCAGCTGTAAGGAAACAATGTTGTTTGGGATTTTCATGGATGTCTAGTTACAGCTGGGAAGCGCTGCCTGAGAGAACCACTGACACGTTTTAACTCACAAAGGCAGAGCTGAAACTCATGTAGAGAACAGAGTGCCAAACATGTTTTTATCTAGTGTGGATTTTCCTGAATGAAACAACTCCAGAATGCCTCTTCGCAAACTGTGCTAGGAAAACATGGTTCCATCCAAGTCGATGGCGGATAGCATGCGCGAGTGGCTGTGGAGTTCTATATGTGATCCTTTGCCCGATCAAGTCACTCAATTTCGTTTCTCGAATTTCCTCTTGCAATCATCCAATGATCAAAGACCAAGCCATGTCACTGTCATTTCTCTACATGTTATGATGTTAAGTCGTGCTTGTGATTATATGAGCATGTACTATAAGGGCTATAACGAAATAAGAATTACCGAATGTTGGTAATTGGGAAGAGTGAATCTCATTCTGGAGACTCGAAGGAACTATGAGCACTGGAAATTGCGTATGGGCCTTGTTAACATGATCGATACGAATTATGAGGCCCACTTTGATAAAAGGACTGGT